AATAGGACTCTGATTTGTGAAACACAGTCTCTTACGTAGGCGGCTCTTATTTCCACATGCATACAAATGCGCACACGAAAACAGAATTTGGTAATGACGATAAAACAGGGTAAAATACTCTATGCCCCTGCAGGTGGGTTTTTTTTTCCACTGTGACTTTCCTTCTATTTCTCTTACCATTGCTAGAAGGAGACAGTTAGGCATGTAGACACTGTCAGCTCCCGTAGTCTGATACTATATCCACAGCTGTGCATAAAAACTATCGAAACATAACCCTGGGAAAGAAGACAGGAGAGCTACAGTAGCCAAAAGGGTTGTTTTCAAGTGTTTTGTTGCGTTTGAGTGTGAAAAGGAGCTCAGAAGTAGGGAGACAGGCAAGGAGGGAGAGGGAAAACATCACTGGGTGAAGGGCAGAAGTAGAAGGATTTATTGAGAGTTGATAAGGAGATATTTAATGGCTTATAAAAAATTCAGCAACCTGTCCTCAGATACTGTTTGGGGTTCTGCCTGATCTTTTTAAAAGAATTTATATATGTAAGCAAGGGCCGATATTTGGGGGAATGTGCATGTATGGTAGATTTCATTTTTTTTTTAGTCTTGTTTGCTGCTTTTAAAGGGCATTTTGGGGGCTAATCTCCACGTGTCATTCTAAAATGCTATGGAAGCTGGCCTTCAGAAGCTCAACATTTCTGAGCTCTTCTGAACACACACAAAAGCCCAAACCCATCTGCTGGGTGTCCCTACATGTCTAGCTCTTCCTGACACATGTGCCCTGAGGACAAAAGCTTTTTTCTCTTTTAAACAAAGCTCAGCAGCCAGCATTGAGGGCTGTGTTTCAGGAAGGACAGAAGCCCATTTGTGTAGAAGGTCCAGATAGCAGATAGTGGGGGCCTGATTAGGAGGGGACTGAAGTGTCCTCTCTTCTCCACTCCACCCGTGAGCTGCCTCATGTTGTACTCCGTCCCTCCCAAAGCCACCAAGCCTCCGAGGGAGGAGTGAGCGGCTTTGGGTAGACTCTGAAACCAGAATGGCAAAGAACTAGGAACAAGCTACAGTCCTGCCCGCCTCTGGATGGCCATCAGCTGCCCCTCCTTGGTGGCTTTTTTTTTGGTGGGCCACATGGAAACCCTTGAGTGGATTCTCACCAGCAGCTACCGAGCTCTGCAGCTGTGCTAATGGTTTGCTAAGGCTATTAGAGTCGAGTGTGCCAGTTCATGCCCCTAGGCCCTTCAAAGAAAGGCAGTAGGCTCACCCTGCCTCTGCCTCTACTTGAATGTTGGTTCTTATTATTGTGGCGCCATGTGACAGAAGCCGCTGTAACTGGGTCAGAGTGTCAGGGAGGGCTCTGTGTGCCGCTGGGCAGGAGCAGCTGCCTGGGCTGGAGAGGCAGCTAGTGCTGCAGAAGCCTCTTTCCTGAGCGCCCCTGGAGGCTCCCTGGTGCCAGGAGGGAGTGGCGCCACCTGGAGGGCCATCGCTCACATGCGGCTCACCCAGCCCTGAGTCCTGTGCTTGGGACTCCCCAGCTCACAGTGTGCAGGGACACTGTTGGCCACTCCTGATGAGCCTGGCTGACCTTCCCCAAGCCTGAGCTTGCCAAGGAGGCCCAGATGGCTGCAAGTGGCAGTCCTCATCTCCAGCCACCCATCGGAATCACTATGAGGCTCTCTGGGCTGGGTCAGAGATGGCGGCCAGGAGGGCCGCAGGAGGTGGTGACATCTAGACAGTCCAGCAGGTTCATATGAGTTTCTGATGCACAGCGGAGGGTAAGAACCACTGGCCACAGGCACAGAAGACAGGCTTCTGGCACTTTACACATGAACTTGCATTGACATTCATTGGCACATGCATGCGTCCCTTCAGATTCAGAGCTTGGGAGTCAGGCTGTGTATTTTGTGCTCTCAAGACTCACACATGCTTTAAACATGCCTTTTTATGATGGCAATGATGCTGGGCATGAGAAACAGCAGCAGGCACCCTCTCTAGCTCTTTCTGAAGCTGGGACTTAGCTGTGTCTCTGGTTTTACCTCTAAGTTCCACCTGACATCTTAGCAGAGGAGGGGACCTTTTCAGGCTTATGAAGCTGAGGCTTCGCTTCCCTTCTCAGGCCTTTCTTAATTTTATATTCAGATTGTACATTTGTTTCTTAAAGAAAGCCCCAAATCATATAAGCTTCAGGGTCCATGCAACCAGGACCTGCCTCTGTGTAACATGGCGATAGTCATGACAGGGGACTGAATCTCTTACTCACAGCTACTGGTGACCTTTCTGGTGTGCCGACTGCCTCCCTGTTTCCCTCCCCATGCAGTCTCTGGTTCAGTTATGCTTTAGAAATTCACAATACTCTTGAGCTCAGATGGAATACCCAGCTGCCCACTTGTCATAGCTACCTGGATGTCCCAGGTCAAGCCCAAAAGTTTGCATGTCCTATGCACTCTTTGGTCACTCACAGATCTCCCCTTCTCTTAGACTCCGTGCTTTGTCATTCTGGACAGTCCTCCTCCCCTTTCTGCCAGGCTCTTCCCCCACACACTTGTCCCCTTCTTCCTCCTGTTACCAAGAGCCAACCTCAAGGCCCTGCCGATTCTGGTTTACACTATCCTAATAATGTCTTGTGTCCCTCTAATCCATCCTCCCACACAGCTGCCACAAGGAAGCTTCCTGAACAAGGAAAATGTGATATGGTGCTCCTTGGCTTTGAATACTCCATGGCTCCCACTGCCTCTAGAGGATGAAGTCCTCTTAGCAAAGCCTAAGACAGCACCAGCTACTCCCCTCCTACCTGGTGTCCCAGCCGCGAATGGCACTGTCCCCTTCACTGTGCACATTGGTCTCTCCTGCACGCCTCCCCACCCTGTTCCTCCATCTGCAAGACTCTCTTCCTCCTTCGAGGCCCCACTTACTCTTTGCTTCCTCCATGAAGACTTTTCTCTTCTCCCCGACTCTGTATCGCACCTCTCTGTCCTTGATACCCTGGGCAGGCCTGGAGGACGTGACTTATGTCCCATTTATCTCAGTGCCCAGGGGCGTGCTGGGCACACAGTAGGTACACAATAACCGTCTGTTGAATAAATAAGTGAATGATGGTTTGGATAGCTTGAGCTGTCCTTCAATTAGTAATAGGTTTCAGAATTCTAACTTCTTCCTCGAAGACCACAGAAACAAGTTATTTTAGATAACCACTCATTGTGAATTAGAGAAAATGCCCTGGTAAAATATATAGACCTTTAAACATTTTTAAGTCACTGCCCCGGAAAAGTTTCACAAATTATTGTAAATTCTATTATTCAATGGCCGATTATTCACACCTTAGCTTCTTTTGCTTATCTTGAAGCTTGTTTTAGAATCTTACAATAATAGTCACACTCCATTTTGTCCTTGCTATTGTCACGCCCTGTGTTTTACAAGTATCAAGTGCTATCTCATCACCTTTTCGATCTTCATTAGAACTTCAATTAGAGAAATAAAGAAAGCTTAAACCTATTAATAAACTGAACCAAACAAGGATGAATACTCGTTAGCATGTCTCTGAAAAAGCTTAGAGGGAGAGGAGATTTCAACTGCTGGGTTCTAATTAACTCTGCTATAGATCTCAATTACCCACCTTGGCCTTGGGTCTTCCACCAATGTGGGCAAGAGAGAGCTGACTATACTGCAATCAGGATTTTGTTAAAGGCTTTAGAACTATTCTTGGCTTTTGCAATCAGAAGAAACAGGCAGGCGGGTTGAAAAGAGAGTTTACATAAAAAGGAGGGAGGACACTAGAACTCTGGAAGACAAGAAATGGAAAACTTAAAAGGCCACGGTGGAAAAGGCCACAGAGGAAGCAGGAAGAAAGATCTAGTGAGGAGGAGGTATAGACCCTGTGACCGAGAAAAACAAGTATGGAAAAGACAAAAACACAGGGTCCAGTTCATTTCTTGCAGCATAGAAATGGGAACGAGAGGTTTTGGAGATACACAAAAAACAGCACACCCCCCAAAAAGCCATGTTGGTGCAGAATTGTTCCTAATGAATAATTCCACCATTATTTTCTCAGGATCTTTTCTTAGACCTTAACTGACTTTTACTGATCAATTGAGTGAAAATCCTCTCCAACTTAGGGCCATTTCACCCCACTATCAATTTAATGAAGAAGTTGTCTAAGGACAGATGTTAACTGGATAGACTACGATAAACTCAGATACATAGTGTGGGTTTCAATCCCACTCATGGATAGAGAAGCTTGGAAGGCAATCTGGAGTGGCATAATGGACCAATATGGCTTTCTCTCTCCTAGAGCAAATGTGGTTTAGATGGATTTTTAATACGTATTTTAGGGTTTGAACTGCATACCATCTCCCTGTCACTCTCTGCCAGAGAATCTGAATGACAGCACTTGCCTCAAAGATATTTTTCCATTATAATTTTTCAATTTGTTCTGGTCTGAAAAATGTGTGTAAATGAAAACAGAGAGAATCCAAACTCCGTGCTCCCTGCCAGCACTCCGTTGTGTCTTTACAATGACTTTGCAGACCCTCGTCCGCTCCCCTTTCTCTTTGGCCAGTGGCCTTATTTTCTGATCACTTCTGCTAGGCCCTAAGATATTTGCAGGATTTCCAGGAACTCTGCTCACTCTATTTTTTTTTTAAATCTCTTTTTGACCTACAATCTCTTCTTTTAGCTCACTCACTTCCCTTCATCTGGTCCCGAAAACCTTTGGGGAAATCTCAGATTGGCCTCGGGATTCAGAGCGATGTCACCTCCTTTTCCCAAAATATACAGCCCCCCAGGAAATGTAGGAGCTGTCTTGCCTTAAATAATTGTAACAGCATGGATTTCCCTAGAGACAGGGAGAGAAAATATTTACCCAGGGAGCTCAGACCGGATTGCTGTGGAGTAACTTGTCTACTACTAAACCAGCAGGGGATCGGCTGTTCTTAAGCTGCACGTGTTCTTTGCTCATTTGCCTGTTCCTCCCTTGATCTGAGAGCCATTAAGCCCACAAAGGAGCCCCCACTTACCTTCCTTGGCTTCACTTTATCGTGGTAGTCATACTGGAAGATTCCTTTGTAGCTCAGCCCCAGCCACCACGGTATCCCCTGCTTGTCCTAGGACATCAAAAGAAATAGGGGTAAATATGGGGTTGGAGAAGATAAACATGAACCAAGAGGAAATTTCCTGGCTCAGCTGAAGATGAGGGGAATGCAAGTTCCGGGGAATGGAGAAAGCCCACCTGTGTACTTTTTACCTTAACAGATGTGCCCATCATCGCATGATGCTTGGTTACGTGAACATGTGACAGGGAAGCTACCCTGGGCTGGGGACCCGGCTGTGCTGCACAGTCGCTTTCCCCTTTATAAGTAATGAGCAAATGCCCTGTTCTTTTTTATTCCTCCTGAGACTTCAGGCTTTCCATTTTGGGTCCCTCACTCACCACAAAGGAAAATTTGGGAGATGCACATTCTAATGAAATGATCGGCCTTCTGAGCTGAGAAAGTGTCATCGATTCTCAAAGCTAGAGGGGATCTCAAAACTACAGGGGACTGTGGGATCACGGAAGCTGATTCCCCTCATTTTAAAGACAAATCAGAGTGAAGTGCCAGCCCAGCTTTACCCAGGACCCTTCCAGCCCCAGCAAGCCACAGGGCAGAAGATGTCACCCTGACGTCCTGCTCACCCGAGAGGACAGCTGGGTTCCAGGCAGGATCTTAGGACTCACGCTGTTGAACAAAGTAGCAAAACTGAAGCTGAAACATCTTGGGACTGATTTAGAAACACCAGGTCCCTTTGTTTATTCCTTTAACAGAGACCTCTTATCATCTCAGTGGAAGTTGCAATTTTCCTTTCAAATAGGAGACTGAGTTGTTAATTAAAGTTCCCAAATGCTATGATTTTATAGTGGGCATATCAAGCTGCTTTTCCCTAGATTTATCCTAATTTCTGTGTCTCTGAATAACCTAATACACGCCCATGATAAGTGTCTAAAAAACCCAAAATTAACATGATGGTTTTCAAATATTTGTGGGGCATGAGTTATTTCAAGAAAAGCTCAAAGACAAAAGAAATAAATTTTGAAATTTTTGAAAAAGTGGCAGGGTATATGATTTATTAAAAAAATTTAAAGGTAGTATGAAATCCTTATCTTAAACCCCTGTCTCTGGGAAGTACCTATGTGCACTGTGGTGATTTCAGAGAACAGATCAAGGTGAAGCCCATTGCCCCTTTAACATGGGATTGACCAGTGAGTGCTGTCATGCACATAAAATAGCGCATCAGTGAGATCACAGGGCCACCAAATGGTGAGCTTGACATGGTTGGGTCAGGCTTGCTTACGCTCATGTGCTCTTTTTCCAAATAGGTAGCAGAGCAATTGCTTGTGCTTTGAGATTTCGAGAGCCAAACACCCATACTCATCTGGCCCTTTGAAAATCACCAGCCCTGCTTCTGCTCTCTAGCAAAGTGAAAAAAGAGCACCTTTCTAAAGTTTTATGGGAAAGCAGAAAGCATATACAAGGGGTCTTCAAAAAATTCATGGAATGATTTGCATTATCTTTTAATTCAAATTTTCCATGAACTTTTTGAAGCACCCTTGTGTACCAGAGGCAGCCTTTTTGTTAAGTCCTAGGGCTGACAAAGAAATGAAGCATAGGTGCAAGCAAGCTTCAAGACCAAAGTTTTCCTGTATCTTGAATAGTCTTTCAATATTCAGAAGACGTGTAGGGGGTGGTGCTCGGGGAGGCAAATTTCTTAATCTCTCTTTTAATAATAAGAGATGAAAATGAGCTCAAACTTACAACAAACAGCAAACCAGAGAACACAATCTAGAATTCCTGGATTCCTGGTTTCCATTCTGTAATGCAGACCCCTTTGCTACACATGACCATGAAATATTTCTGCAATTGAGAGAAAACCTCACGGTTTGATGTCTCGAAATGCCTCTTATCATAATGTCAGGAACTATTGTTGGATCTTTATGTTTCCTTTATGGTAACAAGATGGCAAAATAGAAAAGGGTTCCACAACTCTCACTAGCAGTATGGTTAACACTGGCAGCCAACACAGTTGACTTTGAGCCTCTTTTCATGCAGAATTGAATTTCCTTTGTGGAGCTGACTGCCCGCTGACTCCAGTGGACACCTGCAGGCACAGCCTCGTATGGGGATAGTCTCCCTAGAGGATTCACCTTTCTCCTATGGGATAGAAGTGAGCCCAGGAAGCCAGGTCGCACTGCCCTAGACAGACTACAGCTCAGGCTTGAGAAGGGCAGGGCTGGTTGCAATGGTTGTATGAGTTCTGTGAATGATAGTGTGGAGGGATTAAGAGTGTGCATTGTTGGGAAGAACTTTGGTAGGAGATCAGGAAGAATTTAACCATTGCAAGCTTTAAGAGATCCTAAGCCAGGCTTCTGGATGGGACTGGAGCCCCCACACATGCCTCATAGCTCTGGGCTCCACAACTGGAGTTCCAACATTAGTTTCCATCATGGAAATGTATACATCCGACCACTCAACTTGATTCTCAATACACATTTACTTAGTAAATATTTACTGGACATCTACTATGGGCCAGGCACTAGGCTGGGATCTGGGAGTAAACAACAGAATATAACACGTAGTCTTTGCCATCAAAAGCCTGCACTTCAGCAGGAGATACGGGCAGGTAAATGTGTACCAATGGCATGGGCAGTGTTACACAAGCGGCCGAGGATGACATTCAAGGAATGAAACATGGTGCATGTTGTAGTCAAAAGAAATTAAAAACATAGTTGGGTGGAAACACGGGGAAAGACACTGGCAGAAGAGCAAGAGGTCGGCTGGTAGAACTGTCTTGACTTCAGAAGTGTTTTGTTCTTTTTGGCAATGACTTAAACTTTTCATGGAGGGGTAAATTAAAGAAGGGGAAGGAAGGGAAGTTTTTCTTTCTCATCACAGAAAAGGGCTCTGAGGGACAAATTCATCTATTATTTCAAAGAAGAGTTCCCAGCCTGGGTCTTTATGTATACAATTATAGGGAATTTAGAATGAGGTCAATGTCATGTTGGACTCGCCATCACGATATTTAAGACAACAGATCCTGTCTTCTTAAGCAGTCACGTACTCAACCTGTCGGCCTATCAACCTAGCTCTCCTCCTGTGAAGTTGCTTACACAGCATTTGACCACCAGGAAAAACACTACATTGAAGGATTTTGTTCTTTACAGCTCCTTGCATTTAGATGGAGTCTTCCTCCTGAGATGCTCTGTAGTTCTGATCTCTAAGGATTCTTCTGAGACTGAAAGGAAGTGCGGATTTTTTTTTTTAAAACCATTTCACAAAAGAGAACATGAGTTTTGGAGGGCAAATGTATTGAGTCTTAGTGCACTGAGGGTAAAATTGACAACTCCCCCTGGCATGCAATCTTCCTGACCAAGTCCTGCCCTGCCTCACTCCCAACAAAATAATCTTCAGCAGGATTAAAAAGAAAAAAAAAAAAACAAGAGGTTTTGTTTGTTTGTTTGCTTTTTCAGGGCAGGCTTGGCAGCCTTCAGCAAATGAGCTCACTTACCTTCACTGCATAATAGTGAACCCCATAGGTTGGGAGAGACTCCACGATGCTCATGTAGCTGGGAAGACAACACACACGCAAACACACACACAACGCACACAAGGGTGGTTATTCGGCAGAACTGGCATTATATACATATTTTTGTGTGTATGTGATAAAGTTCTCAATGTGATTGTTTACTTGAAGATTAAATTGAAACACCACCCCCCAGAGATAACGTCTTTCTGAGCGGAATTGAACAATCTTGACACGAGCTATATCAACACACACAAGCACAGTCTTCACGAGAACTGGGAAGGGCACTTACTTCACGATTGCTTGACCTCTGGTCTGGCCATTCAGTTTCTTGTAGTGCTCAATGACTCTGTCTTCACTAGAATTAGAAGAAACGAATTCTGTTATTGAGTCCCTAGGTCAATGGCCAAGCATCCTGCTAACTGAGACCCTTCTGAGTCCAGTCAACCTCATGAGAAGCTCCAAGGAACCAACAGCTCCTGGAAAAATGATTTGTCCTGAAGTGACAATTCCAAACGCAGCCTAAGTGAGATCCCTTGGGCTATCGATTTACTAAAAAAAAGTCTGTTTTCCCCTCAGAGGACTTGCATTCTCTGTATCTTGGACTTCTAATCAGTGGAAAAAGATGAAATTCCAGATTTTGGGTTTGGCTTCTTGCACAAAATGATACCATGGGAGGAGGAAGAGGCAGCCAGCAGAGAACACGAGGGGACACACTGGCTAAACTGTCTCGTGTCCTCCTCCTCACCCGCCTCATCTCCTGAATCCATCTCCACATCTGCAGGGCCTCCTGGGGGAGCGTAGGTGTTGCCTTCGCCGAGTGCCCACAGCCTACCTACTCTGAATGCATAGTCAGGGACTGAGTGCTTCCAAGGAGGATGGAAAGTTCTAGAATCTGGGCCTGGTTAATATGAACCATGAGGCAACCAAAGTCCCCAAGGAACACTGGAGAAGCAACAACAAACCAGCCACCACAATTAGATGGAAACTCCTTTACCTTTTGAAATCTCAGTTCTCAAGCTACCAGCAATTAGCTGGCTCCTTGGCAACAGTGGCACTAAGAGAGGAAGGCAGCCTGGCAGGGTACAGAGAAGTGACCCTGGACCCAGTGAGGTGGGAGCTCTGGCTGTTCCCACCGCTGCCTTCGGACCTGCAGAGCCAGCCTTGGGACCCACGGGGACGTGGTTGTCGGCAGAAGGCCTCACATCCCACCTGCTGCGAAGACAAGTCCAGAAGCCTCACATTTCCTCAGCACGGGCAAGGGGACTCCTTCCTGTTCCCCATAAAAGATCCATGAGGGGAGGCGACCCTGGGAATGTACCCTTAAGATCTCATTCTTTGATCTTTATTGTCTACTAGTAATTTATTATCCCAGAATCTATCTAAAGCTTTCTGGTTTTCTGTTTCCTTTTTCAGCTGGGCTGTCTTTGGGGGTAGCACGTTCTGTATGTGCATTACCTAGTCCTTGTGGGTAATTTATTTTTCAATCACTATCTTCACCTCCAATTGATATCTTTTGATTTGAGTATTTTGAAATTTGGTGCATGTAAGACAGTCAGAGCTCTTCACAAGGAAGTGTCTTTATAAATACCCAGAATGGGGACTGGCTGGCCACTGGGGGCCTTTCTCTGGCTGGAGAGTCATTTCTGTGGGGTCTTGGCACCCTCTATTCAGAAAGGGGCAGACTTGGCCCTTTCTCTCATCAGCTCCCATACGCAGTGGAGGTTCTACTTTGAGTGTGACAAAGTCCTCTCCTAACAGACAGTTCCCGAGGTGCATCCTCTCCAGGGTAGGCCCCAGCCTCACGAAGCCTCTAGAGCTGTGTCAGCGGATTCTGGGGCTGTTCTAGCTTCCTTCCCCCAACAGCCCCACTACATCAACAGCTATGCTGGCACGTTTCCTACCACACAGTCTGGGATTTCATGGGGTCACCTCCGAGATCCAAGGTCAAGCCACTCAAAGTAGACAGGAGCCTAATTCCTTTGTAGCCCTGGGAGAGGAGGACCCTGGGTTGAGGTGGGGACATGACAGTCAATACAGTGCTGCAGCCATGAACCCACGCCAGGCTCAAAAACACAGAGAGAGCATCAACAACACTGTCAGGCCGCTGTTCAGCTCTTTCCCAACTAAAAGGCCTGACCAGGGGGTCTCATGGTGCCTGACAGCTGCGGGAATCTTTGCCACTGCCCACCTCCCTGTATTTCCTGCTGCCTGAGACTGGCTGCGAAGCCACCTCCTCCTTCCCCCTCCTCCTTCCCCAGTATTTCCCGCATCTTTTGCCCCATCTAAACAGCTTCGGTCCATCGTGTGACAGTGCACTCGATGCTGGCTGGGACCCCATCTGCCCCTGGCCGCCCCCCTTCTCTGGTCCACCAAGGCCTGCAGTGCTCCACCCTCCACAGATAGTCCCCCAGCACCCGGGGCTGCGGTGGGTACTCAGTGGAGTAACTGGGAGAAACCCAGGGGCCAGAGCAAACTGAATCCCAAAGCACTGTCTGCAGGACACACAGCATCACATGGAGGAAAAAGGCAAATGACCCAAGCTGATATGTTTGGCCATGGGCTGGGCTGTGTCATTGAGTTAAATCACCTCTCTGCAGATAAAGTGTGCAGGAAACGCATGGGTGACATGATGTCATTGGCCTGCACGGGTCAGTGATTTGGGAGGAGAGGAAGATGTCCCCACAGACCCTAGGTGGTCGGGGAGGTCAGGGTGGTCAAGGTGGTCAGGGTGGTCCAACAGTCACAAGTGAGGCCCATGAGGGAGACTCCAGGTGAGGCCTCGTCCCACCTTGTTCTGTGGCCCCTTGGATGCCTCCTCCACAGGGAGATCACGGGACATGAGAAGTCCCCGCTTGTTCAACACTTGGGGAAAATTAGCAGAAAGGATTATTGCACGTTGCTCAGCCTTATTGTGCACCTTTCACTGCTTTTTATTATGTGACTTTTTATTTCCTAACTTATTTACAGTCTGAAGTCGGTTGGTGTGGTCCATCCCCTTTTACAGATGCATAAATCAAGGCAGCAGAGAAGTAACGAAAGCTACCTGGACTGTCATTCCTTCACAGTTCAGAGACTGTCTGGCTGGGACCTTAAGACCAACTGCTTTGCTCATGAGGCTGTGATGCCCACCCTGGCAGGTACCCACGGGCTCGCGATGGCTTATTCCAGCTGCAGTTTGTCCATGGCATCCGTGAATGCCACGGGGAGCAGAAGAGGCCGAAGAATGGTAACTGTGTATTCTCAGCTCAGGAATGATCAGGGCAACTTGGGCCTGTGGGCAATGTGATTATGACCAGGATGGAGCAGGGGGACAGTCTCCTCCAGTGGTAAGGGGTCATGGTTCCTCTTGCTGACACATGGGTGATGCTGAGGCCAAGAGGGAGATACTGTGAGCAAGCCTGGCCCACTAGCTCTGTCTCCCTCCCCATCCTCTATCTACATGGAGCCTGAATGGCATTTATCCTCTCCTTGAGTCTGTGCTTTTAAAAAATCCAAATACATAGGTTGGAATATCAAAGCCAACCACAATAAAATAAGGTGAACAGGGCTATTGGTATTCTTACTATTCTTAGCTACGTATCATCTGGATGGCCCATGCTACTGACTTGTTTATGCACAAGCTGGGCTGTGAAGCTAAGGACATCCGGCTTCCCTGTCCTGCCACCTTCTCAATGCATTCAGACAGTGGTCTGGATGCCCATGGGTCTGAATGAGGCCCAGGGAATGTGCTGGCCTGGTCCAGAGATATGGGTGTTCTAGCAAGACAGCTATGGGTGTGGATGCAGGTGAAGACGTTCATATTGACAAAGAACAGAAAGCATGTGCCTGAAGGAAGGCATTTCTGTATCAGTAGTATGTGTGCACACAGAGCAAAGGGTGGAGACAATGAAAGAAAGATCCAGAGAGAGAGAGAGAGAGAGAGAGAGAGAGAGAGAGAGAGAGAGAGAGAGGAGTTCATAACTCTGAAATGCACATGGGAGTTGCTGTGGATTGAATGTTCCCCAAAACGCACTGAAGCTTGACCTTTATTGTAACAGTGTTAAGAGGATGGGAAATCCTATTATGGTAACTGACATGTGGGGCCTTTAAGAGGTGATTAGATTGTGAGGACTGTGCTCTCATGAGTGGATTGATCCATTCATGGCGTAATGGGCATGGTTCTCCTGGCTTTAAGAGGAGAGCCAGTGAGCAGATTAGCTCTCTCTCTCTCACTCATTCTTGCCATGTAATACTCTGGTTGTCATGAAACCTTGCAGAGAGTTCCCACCCAGAAGGCCCTCATCAGATGTGTTCCCTGGACTGTAAACTTCCCAGCCTCCGAACTATAAGAAATAAATTTCGTTTCTTTATAAATTATCCTGTTTCAGGTATTCTGTTATAGTCAACAGAAGTGAACTAATACAGGGGTGTAACAACGCTTAGAAACACAGAAATGAAGTGACAGATGATCGAGGGATGGATCAGACCAAAGGCTACTCTGACCCCAGACAACCAACAATGCAGCCCACGATGGCAAACATGTCACCTCGTCTAGGAATTCCTGGTCCCTCCAGTTATCTTCCTGCATCCCCATCTCCTTCTGCACTGGTTTCCTGGAAGTGGGATAGTTCGGAGGATATGGAAAAGGCCCAGGGAGTATAAGGAATTGAGGAGGAGGACAAGAGGCTCCACGAGCAAGGAAACGAAATGTCACTTTGTGGTATTTATATGTGTGAACTGTAAGGCTGGAAGGTTGGAAGCAGATGCCTGCAAAATCCCTGCAGGGTAAATAGCTTTTGCTCTTTGGGGGTTAGATTATAAGGAGAAAGCCATTATTAACTAGCCCTGTGTTCCTGAAGGAAGACTGGCAACAAAGCAGTTCAGAGAGATGAAATTGGGGCCACCAGACACAGAAGGGGGTCACAGCCTCGGGCCTGGAGTCCAGCTCCCCCCATGACTGTGGTCTCTCAGAGAGAAACGATTTATCCTGCTAATGAACTTGACATCAAGACATGACCTATCCCAGCCAAAAGAATCTCTGAAAGTCACCTGAATGGTGAACAACGAATTTACTGTCTGGAAAAGTGTCCATATGAGATGAAATGTTAGTAATCCGTATATTTCAAAAAATGTATATAGAAGCACCTAAGTCCCATGTTGTAGTTTATTAGGATTGACTTGTTCCGTGGTCTCTGCTTTGTTTTTTAATAAAAGCAGTTGTGTTGACTTTTCTGAGATAGGCAGAAGGAATCACGGAGAAGTGCTGTGGCTGTCCTAGTGGCCGGGGCTTCCGAGCCCAGAGGCTGCCCACGCACCACCCGGGAATGCAAGCCGGGCTCGGCTGTGGCCCAGACTGCAGTCTGCCAACTTTCAAGTGGCTGAATCACTCAGAATCAGTAATTTAGGGCCCAACAGATGAACTACGGCATAATGTTACATGGCAGCAAAATCAGGAGTTATGAACCATTGAAGGAACATAAAAGACTCAATCTCTCGCTTCTGCAAAGAAAAAAAACAAAAAACAAAACCCATGGTTCTCCCACGTCTCAAAACTTCACACGTCCTGTCATCAAATGATGTTCCAAAATGAAACTCCAGCAGCACATGAAGGTTCCCTAAGTGGGCAAAGCTTCCAAAGTGAAATTGTAGAAGGTTTTTAAAAAACTTTTTTTTTTTTTTTTTTTTTTTAGGAAAAAAAGTACAGAGAGGGAGAGATCTCACATATACCATGTCATTTAAATAAATGTAGAAAAGGGTTTGGTGAAGACATGGGATACTTGACACAACTGGGGTCAGGGTTGACGTGTGAGTGGAGGGTATGCTCAGGGGTCTGGGCCTGTGCATGGGAGGCACTGGCTCCTAGACAAGGCTCTGGGGTCTTACCAGTAGGCCAGGGACGGGTGCTCCTTCAGGGCTTGGGTGGGAAGGGCTGGAAGCTTCTTCAGGTCGCTCCTCACGACTTCATTGCTGAAAGAGAGAACACCGAGAAACACTCTTACCCTCTGAGAAAACAGCTGCTCTATCTGACACGACCTGACCCAGCTGCGTTGTCTGAGAGACCCCACATCTGTTGCCTTTTAATGAAAAGTGGTGGGAGGAATGGGGTGCTTTCTTTTTATTTATTTACTTAATATAGATGAAAGAGAAGGCATAACACAGAGCGGAGCAGCCTTCCTTTCTGCTGCAGAAAGCAGAGAGCTCACAGATGGCCGAGGCTGCCTTTTTGAACCCTGCACTCAAAGAGCGGCGGCCTTCGTCAGGAATCCAGGGAGGAGAGGGTCCCCGGGGTCCCCATGGGGCAGGATCCAGGAGACCATCCCTGGGGCCCCGCTGTTAGGCTCACAGGGCTCTAAGAATGGGCAAGGCCGCGCTTTCTCCTTGGGAGCTGCTTGGCTCACTAATGCACAATACCAGTTTTCCTTGCTTAGACTGACCACGCACTGGAAACTGCTTTGTGAAATATGATAAGAAGTAACTTTGCTTCTGACAAGGCTGGAAACTACCGAAAAAGTGTAAGTGGATTGTCTGGTACTATTAGGTGGCTTGATGAGTCTGGTTCTGGGATCAGAAATTCTTTTTCCTGTAGACTCACACATGACCAGGTTTGGAAGATACTTTAATGCCCCCCTCCCTCCCGACCCCCCAGTTTAACCAGCCTTCTTCAGATGCTCGACTCCTCTTCAGACACTGAGCAAAGCTGCATCCCCACTGGGCCAGGCCACCTGGGGTGTCCCCCACTCACTACCTCAAGAGGAATTAGTGGCATTTGCTTTGGGGGTTCTGCACTGAGTGTTTCCCTACACTGGTCCACCCAGGAGTCTCAGGAGCTCAGCTGGGCTGCAAGGCTCATCTCGTGGCACCCTGCCTTGGACCTACAATTCTAACCTGGGCTATGTTGGCAGCTTCTGTGTTGCTCATACAAAGCAAGGCAAATATTGGCCACCAGGACACTGGGCGGTACCATGTAAGCAGCAATGAGCTAGGAGCTCACTAAGTAAATACAGAAGAAGGAATACTGCAGCCACAGATGGGGAGCACCTGAGACATCTGGATGGCAGACACCCCAACATCCATGCTGGTAACTGGAGGATGTACTGTTCCATGTGTCCCCAGTGGGAATACTGCCAGTAGCCATGGAATCAGCAGTTCCACCATTGAATACCAAGTGCTACTGGGCAAACCATACCAACACTTCACGTTCATGTAGGCAGTGACAAACAAACACGTGGATGGTTGGGAACATTACAGCTGCTTCCAGAAAGGGCAGTTTCAAGTGCAAGAAGAAACAATGACAGCGATGTTTGTGAACCCTGGCTTCGAACAACCAACCAGAAGGAAAAGCCCAGCTTCTGACTGTTTGGATCAGCACATCCAAGTACTTGAACTGTCATCAAGTAGGTGATCAGGAAAGGACTTATCAATTAATAATCAATAAGCTGAAGGTATTTTTGGAGTTCCTGCTATTATGTGGCAAGTATCATAGTGGCTACAAAAAACAATGAGACGTAGTCCTTATCCAAAAGGTGCTCAGGAGGCAAGAGGCACGCATGCAAAGATAACCGACCACATGGGCAGTGTCTGATCATGTCAATTCAAACAACAAATTTGAAAGCTCAGAGGAAGGGAAGGCCTCTTTGGGCTCTGGTGTAAGAGCAGGTTTTGGGGGAGGTCTTGCATGAAGAAAGGATAGGAATATTATTTTCCCCCAAGTGGAACACAGCAGAGAAGTGGAGGTCCTAGAACTTGATCTGAAGAGATGAATCAATTGGAGTGTGTGGATGTAAGTGGCAATACAGTGAAAAGGCAGGTTAGGCACAGAATTTCAATGCCAGGTAAGAGAATGCAGACTGCCCCTGTGGGCAATGGGTTTTCAAATAGGTAAGCTCCCGGTGTGTAGGAAAATTCAGCTCGCAAGTATGGTTTGGAATTTTTACTCGCACGCTAATTAGGCATAGTTTAAGCAAGTATTCAGTTTGCCAAACACTCGAGAACCCACAATGATGAATTTCTGGATCTTCTCTCCCTGTTTAACTGTCAGTTGCCTGAGAAAAGGGATTCGGTTCATTGGTTCATAAGCTCCTATGATGGTGTCCTAAATACCAAAAGGCACTGTTATTGTATAAACTTTTACTGGATGAAACAGTGAGAAAGGCTATTAGTAGCAGCTCCTTTATTGAGCTGAAACATGAGTTGGGGTTTACCCATCTAAAGTATATTTGCGGAAGGAAGGAGCTAAAGGAGGATGGGATCATTTTACCCACCAAACACTCATTTGTTGGCAAACAAGTTTCCCGATGACAGCCACACGCTTGACTCTCTTGCTGGAGGTTGCAGTGGCTTCTCTACTTGTCCTCCAGGGCAAGGTTGCACAGGAAAATATAAGAAGGCATCCCCAAGCGTGAAGCTTGTCCAAACCCATTACATTCTGGAAAGAATCCATGACTCTTAATCCTTCCCAAGGGACAAACATGCAGAAATGTTCTGTTTGCCTTTCTGCTGTTTATAAACATCTGTAATAACTTAGAGGTGTCCAGCCCTGTCAAACTGGCCAAACTCTGTGGCTGAAAATCAGAAAACTGCCCTAATGGGAGTCCTGGTCACTCTAAAAATGAGCTAGAAGTTTCCAGCTTCCTCTCTCTATGTCCTCACTTTGACGTTTTCTCCAGAGTTCATTGGACTTGATGAATCCCAACTTATAAAACACCTTAAAATAGTGCATTTTTAGAAAAAAGCAGAAGGGTCTCTTAAAGAGCCAGTTGCTAAACTCAGAATAAAACTCAAGTCTTCTTATTTTTAATATTAACCAGATTTTATTCAAAACTTTTAGGTAGTTATTAATGTTGCCAGCAAAATATTTGTGTGTGAATGCTGTGTTAGCCTTTAATTTAGGGTTTTTTCTTCTTTCTTTCTTTCTTTTTTTTTTTTTTTTGAGATGGTGTGCCTGTCTTCTGCTGCCTATACTGCTCATACGACATGGCAAGTTAGAATGATCCACTGGGGAAAAGTGAAGATTTCTAGCAATACATCAGATAGGGAATTTGCCACAATGAACAAAAACAACAAATTTAACCAAGACACTATAAAGTGAAGAAAGCACAAATAGCACTTGAAAGAAGGATTAGAAAATCTGCAATGTGTTGGTTTTCCTTTTAAAAACTAGGAAGTTACTTTTACAGGAAACTCCCCTGGGGTTAAATAAGATGTGGGAGAAGCCTGGGGCAAGCAGAATATGCTTAGTGCTGCAGAATTCTCCCTGAAACCAGTTTTTTTTTTTTGCTCTGCACTGGTACAAAAACAATAGAGCACTAATGTTATAATGTTATGCTGGTGTCACATAAAGAAATAACCTGAAATTCAGAAATGGTAATATTGTGCTAGCATCGGACTGACTCCTCCATATTTTATGAACATATCATGAAGATAAATTTCTCCAGGGAGATGTATTTCGTTAAGTAAAAAGGAGCATTACAAATCCTTGATCCACTATCCATAATTCCAAATCCAAAAAGCTCTAAGAAACAAATTTTTCTTAACCCATTTGGTGGCAAATTTAACTTTTTTGCACATGGCCACGTTTGACCTTCATCTCCCCCACTTGGTGTGAACACCCATGTTTTGATGCAGGAGTGTTGATGTGTTTGAGTCTGGGTGCTGCCCCAGACCCTGCCCAGGGTGTTAAGGAACACACGGCACCAGCAATGAATTACCTAAGACCTGAACAATTCTGAATTTGGAAACACTGGGACCCTCAAGTTTCAAATACGCATTGTGGATCTGAATTCCTTTCTTCAATCATGTAATGAACCTAGAAAACTGAGACGGGTGAACAAGGGAAGTCATAGATTTTTTTTTTCTTTGCTGACCTTTAAAACTCATGTGGTAAACAAACTCCTTTCCTTTCGTTTTCCTTCCTCCTCCTTCGTTTTTTGTGAATCAAGGTGAAGGTGAGGTTACATCAGAGAAAATGAGAATACTTGTCTACCTTCACCCTATCACACACTTTTACCCCCAGGTGTGTAGGGAAGGCTCAGTGAAGTTGAGGGTGTGGGAAATGTTGTAGGTGTCTTCTCTTTGCACTGTCTGTGAAACTTCTCCTGCCATGTGTTTGATCACTTGCAGACAAAGGGAAGCACCTTGAGACTTGCAGAGATTTTTTTCCAGCATGCGATTCTGGATTCCCAGGCATGTGTTGTAGATGAACACGTCACACTAATTTACCAACTGTACAAAGGGGCAAAATTACAAACACATTTATGAATTGCACGCCTTTGTCTCTGATGCTAATTGATAAATTATAAAATAATTTATTTATAATAATTAAAATAATAAAAATATTAAAATAATTTATTATAATAATCTTTATTCCTTCTTTCATTAATGAGTCTGCTGCAAGGAAAGTTTTGTGAATTTCTAACTTGGTTGTAAACGTGTGAAATTCAAAACAAGTTTAAAAAATTGTTTCAGAAGTCTTCAACTTCAGGCAAATAATTTGACTCAAACAGCACAAGAAGAAACAAATAATTGATTTTCTACAGTATCACCCTTTAGATTGGTAATCTCAATTCTGAAAAGTTGACATAGTGTCATAGCTGTGAAACTTTTTGTTATTCACAAGGTTGACTCAAAATGTGATATTGATATTAAATGCTTAACCAAAGAGATAAGCTGTCATAATATAAAATTTCCTCCTTGCTTTATATAGCTAGACGATTCCCATAGGATTTGAAGAATATCCTGCAATATTAAATGCTTAACCAAAGAGATAAGCTGTCATAATATAAAATTTCCTCCTTGCTTTATAGCTAGACGATTCCCATAGGATTTGAAGAATATCCTGCAAAAAAAACCTATCTGAATACTTTTTTATGCTTTGAAAATGTGAATTACACCCTTGAAACCTCAGCCAAATGGACTTTTGTGCTCAAAACAAAGCTTTCTGTAACAATTTATAACTTTTCCACTTGAACATTTTGCTTCAACTTTTCACAAATTCTGTTCCTTTCAAAAGCTCTTGCTGGCGTCAAAGATTCCAGCTGTTCCTGAATTACTCATGGTCGTCAAAGTCATTTTTAAATCCTGGGAAAACACCCTTCTTTCTTTCTTTCTTTTTGTAAAATAATGTATAAGAATTATATTAATTTCAATTCTTCCCTCAAAAACTTTTTTTGGGGGTTGATAAGTGTGTTTCAGGTTTAACAGATGACTTTTTTTCTAGGATGTTTTTAGTAGGGAAATTTGCAAATTTAGGTATTAAAGATCCTGTTAGGTTATGTAAGTCATATTCCAAATGTTAACTATTCCAAACATAGCTGTCTGAGTATTTTTTGAGTAATTATAGTGCAAGCTGCTTTCTTTGAAGAGCCAATTAAAAATTGTAGGAAAATATACCCCAAATGATCAAAATGGCCCAATAATGATTTAAAACTAGCTTGCTCAGAGTTGTAGTACTAAGAGAATCAAAGTAATGATATCAGTAAACTAGGAATTGTGACTTATAGCTGCTACTTTAGATTAATCAACTCTCTGTGTTGTCTGTTAGCTGGGCAAGAAAATAACTTTGTCATCTTTTTAAAGCTAGGAATCGTTACAAATGTTTATATTACGGAAAAAAAAGTCTTTTAGAAGAAAATTAGCTGTTTGCCTTCTTTCCTTGTTCGTCTTCTGAAATTCTTCCTTTAACCTATATCTGCCTAGAAGGCATCCTCTGTCCTGACAGGAAAGACTTACAAACCTGGAATTTCAGATACCAGTTAGCCAAGTTTAGTTTACATTAATTCACAAATGCTCTGTGAAAAAGCAGAACATGTTTCAAACAAAGAAAAAAAAAATCAAGAGGGCACTTTTTTGGTCACAAAAAATGTCTTTCTTTCCAGACTAGTGACCACACAGTGTCATGGTTTATAGAAAGTAAAATATTAAATGGTCTTCACGCTTTTTGCATCTAACTGCTCTCCCAGGGACCTAGGAACATGAGGTCTGTGAAGCTAATGGGAATTTTTCAGCACAAATAAATACTGCAATTCCTCTTCTAAAATGGAGTTGAAGATCAATTTTCCTTGTTAATAGATGACTGCTATTTGTTTCTATTGATTGAGTAATGTGTCACTCTATTTCTAAAAGCAGGACTTTTTTTTTTTTTTCTTTAAAGAAAGAATTAGAAACCTGCAGACTGCTAATTCATGGACATAGGAAGATTTCTTACTGACCACCGAACTCTAATAAGTGGATACTCTCTCACTTGGACCAGCATTTAATTTTGTACAGATGTCATCTAGACTGACCCCCCAGTATTCAATCAAAGCCTCACTTCTGTTCCTTTGGTTGCTGTGTTTATTTGGAATGGCAAGCCTGCAGAACCTTCCATGGCCTCTAAAGCATGTGACAGGCTCTGCTGAACGGGGAAGGCTCTAGGTAGGCAAAATGTGGCCCCTGGATCTTAACAAGAAATTTCCTTAATATCAATTATTTTTAGGGGCTGTTTGCTTACTGGCCCAATAAATCTCATGCTGGGAGAATCCTGTTTTAGTGATTAGCATCAGTACATCCAGTCTTCTGTAACAAAGATATTTTCAGGTTCCCACAAATGGCCCAGAGTAACAGAGCTTTACGGATATGGTTTCAATAAATCTTAACAAAAAATTCTATACCACAGACATTTTTTTACCCTGTTAGTGTATGGTTGATTCCTTATATCAAGGGTAGTGTGATTTTTGGCATTTATGATTTACTCTGTTCAGCATAAAGCATTTATAAATCACTTTACTTTTGCAAGATGTTTAAAATTATAATCTTAAAAAAGATTGTCACACTTTTAGAAAGATCAGAAGGGCTGGCAGAAGGTGAAAAACTAAGTGATCCTCAAAATCAGGGTAAGAAGATTGGCCGATAGGGTTTTCAGTTAAGGTCACCTTTGAGAAAAAGCCAAAAATCAAGTACTCGTATGTAAATACCCTGTTTACTAGAGTGTAGCAATAAGTCTTCTATTAAATTAAATTAGAATATATCTAGAAAATTTGCATGTCTTGTTAGTTGATTAAATGAGGTGTTCTCTGCACTGACCTTTTAAACAAAGAGGATATTATTTTTCTGCAGTAACCTAAAGGTCTTAGAGAAAAGTTCTTGAGTAGAAAACATCAGTGCTCAACACTCAAATCACTGTAGCTCCTGCGATGAATGAAGTATGTATAACTCATAGATAACGTCCATTAGTCGACTAATGTTCAACAGTGATTATCTAATGAGAGCTTTTTGTTTTAAACTGAGTTGGCCCTTCTCCACCTAATATTTACTCCTATAGGTGTCTTGGTTAACAGCCCTGAGGCTGTGCAATTGTTTTTAAACAGAAATGCCAACTTTCCTGATTTCCTGATTGTTGATAGACATGAGTTTTGTTCTGGTTTTTTTTTTACGTGAATATACACCAGGAAATGAAATGAGATTACTACATGCTGTGCTAAGGAAAATATTAAAAGTGAGAAAATATTATTTTTAGATAAGACTATTTTTTTAACCCTTAATGACAGCATACAAATTTGTCCGCCATATGTTAGAATATGAACATGTAGGGCGTGTATTTCGTCTGATCATAGACAATACTATTTGTCTATCTGTATACCTCAGTCATGTTCTTTCAGCAATGCTAAACCCAATATTTCACGGTAAAGTTCCAAAAGGCAAGGAAAAGCACAGGAACAAAAGAAAAAATAAACAAATGGGATTATATCAAATTAAAAAGCTCCTGCACAGCAAAGGAAACAATCAATAGAGTGAAAAGACAACCTGCAGAATGGAAAATATTTGCAACCATGCATCTGACAAGGGATTAATAACCAGAATATACAAAGAGCTCAAACAACTCGATAGTAAAAAAACAAATAATCTAATTAAAAAATGGGCAAATGAGCTGAACAGATGTTTCTCAAAAGAAGACATACAAATGGCCAATAGATATATGAAAAAATACTCAACATCACTAATCATCAGAGAAATGCAAATAAAAACCACAATGAGATTTCATGTCAACCCAGTTAGAATGGCTATTATCAAAAAGACAGAAAATAACAAATGTTGATGAGTATGTGGAGGAAAGGGAACTCTTACACGTTATTGGTGGGAGTGTAAATTTGTATAGCCATTATGGATAACAGTATGGAGATTTCTCAAAAAACTACAGATGAAACGATCCAGAAATCCCACTACTGGGTATATGTCCAAAGGAACGGACTCCCATGTTTATCGTGGCTCTATTCACAACAGCCAAGAGTTGGAACCAACCTGAATGTCCATCAGCAGATTAGTGGATAAAGAAAATGTGGCACATACACAGTGGAATACTACTCAGCCTTAAAAAAAGAAATGATATTTGCAGTAACGTGGATGAACTTAGAGAAAATTATATTAAGTGAAATAGCCAGGCACGGAAAGAGAAATACCACATGTTCTTACTCGTATGCAGAAGCTAAAAAGTTGATCTCATAGAAGTAGAGCATAGAACAGTGGTTACTAGAGATTGATAAAGGGACGGGGAGGTGGCATGGGGAGAGGGTGGCCAATGGCTACAAAATTGTAGACAGATAGGAAGAAGAAGATCTATTGTTCTTTAGCAATGTAGGCCAACACTACAGCCAACAACAAATTACTGTGTAACTTCAAGTAGCTAGTCAAGAGGTTGTCGAATGTTCCCAACGTAAAGAGGTGACAAATGTTTGAGGTGATGGATGTGCTAAACACCCTGATAGCATCATTGCGTACAGTGTAAATGTACCCAAATGTCACATTGTGCTCCATAAATAGATACAACTAATATGGGTCAATTAAGAAAAAATAAATTAAAAAGAAAATTCAGAGACAGAAGTAGATGAGAAGTTACCAGAAATGGGGCAGGGGCTGGGATGGGGAAAGAATAATGAGTAGTTATTGCTCAATGGATACAGAGATTATGTTTAGAATGACGAAAAGTTCTGGAAATAGATAGAGGTAGCGGTTACACAGCATTATGAGTGTAATTAATTACACGCAATTATATGTTTAAAGTGCTTAAAATGAAAATTCTTATGTTATATATATTTTAGCACAATAATTAAAAAAAAAAGACATGGAAGTGAGCATTTCCATTAACTGGAAAGAAAAGAGAGTTGTGTAAGAATAAGCCTCAGGGACCTGCTGAGCAAACAGAGTTCCCCCCCCAAAAAAACCAAAAAAAAAAAAAAAAACCCCAGAAAAGCCTGTAAGTTTCATGAGAAAGGGTAGTTACAGTTCTGGGTTCTCTTTCTATTAAACTATTTCAGCACTTCTGACTTCTTCTTTTGTAAAAATAACCCTTTTACTCTTGTGCTTCAAGAAGTTTGCTCCCATAATTCATAGATTTTCGAATATTCATTTCACATAAATGTAATTTGTATTTAGTCACTGAAATGTAAATATCTAAGATAATAACATCATGGGGAAAAATAAACTTTTAGGAAGTTATCCATTCAGAACCTCTTAGGCTATGAAAGACTTACTTTGTCTTTTGTATGTGACCATTGATTTAAAAGGTTATTTGATCCTCTGGATTCTAGAATATCTCAGAGTCCAGCCCTGGACCCTACGTTTTATTTATTTATTTACTTTTTGGCAGCTGGCTGGTACGAGGATCTGAACCCTTGACCTTGGTGTTACATGGTGGTACTCTAACCAACTGAGCTAACTGGCCAACTCTGTTTCATTTATATAAATGTCTTCCCCAGGGTTCTGCATGTTCTAAGCTGACATCTTATTTTATTAATTTTGTTCAGGAAAACATATTATATTTACAGGGTATGTTTATAAGTCCAAGTCATTCAGTTAAATACAACGAATGCTATAGAGTCATGCATTAATATGGCAAAAATAACTTTCTGTAATATTACATTTTGGACATCTGAAACACCTAATGTCCTGTCACCATTTGGTTAAATGTGGTCAACTTCAATGTTTTGGGGATCTTTCCAAGTAGAGTGACTTCTCTCATTCCAAAACTCCCAGCTACCCTTTTCTCTGGACCTCTGATGAGAGGTTTACTACCTATGGGCCTGCTACAGACAACAGGTGTTTACCAAGGCATCCCGTGTAATAGATCACCTCCACCTTCCATGGTGTGGGTTTTATGCTAGGAGAGAAACTGACCTTTTGGATAAGGTGTCTGACCTCCCCTCCTCCCCTGACAGCTATTTCTTTCCCAGACAGCTGCCCTTACAAACAAACAGCTATGCAGCACTTTGACAAATGAAACTCAACCGGATCCTTTGTTTCCCTGATTTCAGCCAAGAAGCTGGCATTCCACAGGCTCATTAGGGGGCCGTGAATTACTGCTGAGGAGGCCAGGCCTGCACTTCCTCCTGCCAGGCAATCCGTGTGACCACTCGTTTTTCCCATGATCTGTGGGGCCAGATTATGCTGTTCCTGGTTCACATACCATCCTGTCAGAGTACCCCCCAAAATAAATAATATTTATGGCAGAGTTCAGAGCTGGTGAGAGAAAAGGGGGAGAAAACATATCTTCAGAGTAAATAGACTAGACACTGGAATCCTTTGGATTTGTGGTTTTTGAACCACTTTTCATGGGACTCCAGAAATCTTTGTAAGTAGATATGGATTTATACTTATCAAAACCCCAAATTCCAATACCAAATTAAGGTCATAAAAAAAAAATAACAAGAAACAATGTAATATGGTATAGTTTTTATAAACTGAAAACTTTTCATTCAATAAATTCAGTATATGGTTACTGGCCACATACAAAGTTCAAGGTCTCCATCTAAGGCTCTTTAGAGCCATGATCTATTTAAAAATTTGACTACCTCTGCTTTATATATACCAAGACTTGGGAAACCTAAATAAAGGGGGCTTGGAGATCTCCTTGCACAAATATTCAAATTGAACCAAAATTGCTACATTTTGGATCAAAGGCCAGCCAACCACATCATGCAGGCCAAATCCAATCCTCTGCTTGTTTTTGTATGGCTTATGAACTAAGAGTGGCTTTTACATTTTTAAATGGTTGAAAAAAATAAAAAAGAGAATAATATTTTGTGATACACAAAAATTTATATGAAACTCAAATTTCCATGTCGACAAATAAAATTTTATTGGAACACAATCATGCTCATCCGTTTACCTGTCATCTGCAGCTCCTTTTGCACTTAGAAAGGAAGAGTAATTGTGACAGAGACTGTGCAGCCTGCAAAACCCAAGGTATTGCTGTCTTAAACTTCTAGAATACTAGAATCCCCTATGTACTGCCACGCTATCAGCATCCCTAATAGCTCTTGCCAGCTTGTGGTCAGAGAAAGTTAAGAAGGCAGATAGTGGGTATGGCTACTGGCCACGCTTTCTTCCATGGATGGCCCTGGCCTGGGACACACAGGTGGGGGCAATACTTACCTGTAAAATATAGGAAGCTAATTCAAACACCACTTCACTGTCAACATCAATAAGCTCCTGAAAGGAAAAATTAACAAGGATGATAAGTTTGGTACTTTAACAACTACGTCTTATGACAACTTTCTAAAAAGAGGCTTGGTGTTGCTTTTTTGAGGAGTTTCCTAGAATCCCAACTATTCATAGGTTATCTTTGTCCTTGAGGCCACTGCTCTGAATTACTTGGTCCCAAACGCTCCCTCACATCTTTTTTTACAGCTCTTAGCCAAAATGGACTAGTGACCAGGGCCTACAAGGCCTCATGTTTAGATATTAATGAGCAATTAAGGGGTGAGCCAGTCCCCAGCTTTTTACAAACCTTTTAATCTTATTAATCACTGGAGTATGGTTACTTGATAACCACTTGGATGACCTCAGTTTCTCCTGGTTTGCTTGTGTTTTCCTTGTAAACTCTACTTCAGAACCAGTAGCAAGGCTTTATTAAAAGAAATGTCACAATGGGATTGTGACTCTTTAAATTAAAATGAAATGAAATTAAAAATACGGTTCCTCAGTTGCCCTAGCCACATTTCTTTCATGTGCTCAATAGTTCAGTGTGGCTAGTGCCTACCACATTGCCAGCACAGATATAGAGCATTTCTATCATTGCAGAAAGTTCTGTGGGTCAGCGCCGTTACAGCGGCTGAGTTTAAAAATGCTTCTGCTCTATTAGTTCTTCCCCCAAATATTTAATTGTGATCTAGGGACATGTTCTTAAAAGGACATAAACCTCCCTTTGGTTTTGGAAAGAAATCTAATGTATATCTTTTTTTAACATGTACATAGTTCATATCTTTTTTTAACAGCTTTATTGAGGTGTAAGTGAAACACACAAAAAAAACCCTGCAGTTCTTCCCCCAAATATTTAATTGTGATCTAGGGACATGTTCTTAAAAGGACATAAACCTCTCTTTGGTTTTGGAAAGAAATCTAATGTATATCTTTTTTTTAACATGTACATAGTTCATATCTTTTTTTAACAGCTTTATTGAGGTGTAAGTGAAACACACAAAAAAAACCCTGCGCATGTTTAATGTATACAATTTGATGAGTTTGGACATATGCATATAACCATGATACCATCACCACAATCAAGAAAATAAACATATTCCTCACCCCCACAAATTTCCTTGTGTTCTTTCCCGTGTGTGTGTGTGTGGTAAAAACACTTAACATAATATACCGTGTTAATAAACTTTTAAGTACGTAATACTTTATTTTTATATATAGCTCATATGTTAAAGACAAAGGGAGAGCTGGAGTTCATCAGTATTCAAGAATGAAAACAAATTAATTCACCTCCTGTTTCTGTTGTCAAGCTTAAGTAGAAATGTCCACCTTTACTTTTCTTTCCCTAATATCACAAGATCCTGTAGTGAGGGACTGGACGACAGAAAGTTACTGCTAGGAGAGATTTAGAGATCAGCTAACCTAGCCTGGACCTTTTGTTGAGAACGGAAATCCAAAAACATGAGGGACTTGCCCAAAGTCACAGGCCTTAATGGGGCTGGAAACCAACCCCCACTTCTTGCCAAGTATTCGATTTTCCTCAGGATGTACAGTTTCCCCAAACCAATAAAGACTCAGTTTCAGCCAACATAGTCTCAGAACAATATTCATAATCGAAGTTAGCTTAAAAAGAGTTACTTTTCACTTGAATTATAAACCCAAAACTCCGATTTGTGGATTTTCTGATTATTTTGGGGGGGTCCAGAATTGGTCCCTGTAATTCAAAGCTGCGTTCAAGCAAGCCTGAGTCTTTTGAAGGAGGTATCTCATACAGGCTCTTTCTGGCCTAGGAATTTCAAAGATGGATAGTAATATTTGCAACTGAACCACCTTAGAAGTGTGGCCTGAGAGCACTCACAAGCATAGAAGAATCGGGGACAATAATTCTTCCCGTGTAACCAGCTGAAGGGGCTTTCTGGGTGCTGCAATTGATCGTGACAGTTGGGGCTGGAATGTGGAGGAATGTTTGGAATTGCAGTTCTGGGATTACCAGGTCCCATCAGAATGCAAATCATTTAACAGTGCACAAATGATTTAACAGAAACATTGTCCAGGGTTTCCATAATAGATCATTCCCACTCTCATGACGTTCGTTTCCATTCCCGCCACTAGGCTTCCTGGATGGGCTCGTGTGCACTTGCTGGTGTATCGGGATGTCTGTGCTCTCTGTCAAACATTTACACCTACGTTACAGCTAAAGGTCAAGAGCGGGCTAATAGTTAACATCCATGGAGAGGCTTATCTAAAGTGCAACTCAAAACCAACCGTCAGAAAACAATCCATTTAAGTGGGAACACAGCTGTTAGTTCTTCTTGTGGTTCATCTGCTCAATGAAAATGTCTATAACTCTCTGGGAGCAGGGGTGAGGGAAAAGGAGGAAGGTGTTTTACATTATTTCACACAGCCCATTGCGTAGTTCCATGAGGTACTGTTGGTGAGTATTAGCTGTAAGGTCCTATCATCCAGCGTAAAGCTACCCAAAACGCACCATTAAATGTCTAACCTGATCTACCCCCAAATCTCTCTCACCACAGTTGTCCTCAGGGTAAGTGAGAACTAGCACCTTTAACTGGGGTGACTTTTCACCTTCTCTGACCTTGACCATCTCTCAGTGAAGATACTAAAAAACAGCGTGAGTCAAAATGAAGCCAGTAAAAGGGAAAAGGACTAAAGGATGACGTGCTCCAAACACTGCACACAAGAGAAAAATCTGATCGGAAAGGGAGCTGCATTGTTACCTCTTACCGTTCCTATTTAATATTTATTAAGTTCAACGATCACCTCCCTGGATGTCTCAGAGAAGTAGACACAAAGATCTAAAGAATGTGTATAAAACCAATCCAGAAATGGTGGGGAGATGCGTTTCTAATTGTTAAAAAAGACTTTCATGTCCTGGCAGTCTCTGCCTCATGCCCTGATGTCTCTGTTCATGATACCCCCCCGCTTTCCACGTCGCCCTCCTAGGTGATTTTTATTTTTAAGATTCTACTGCGATGGAACAGAGCTGTAGAATTTTTGCCCACTGCACCAATTTCCCATTATACTTCAAAACCTGAAAGCCGAGATCCCCACAGGGGAGCCAATAGATGTTTCCAGTCATCTTCGTGTTAGAAATGTGTGCTGCACAGCATTAAAAAAACCGAACTCTACCTTTTTCTCATCTGACTTCTCTAGCAATCCAGAGGTGGTTTCTTTCATGTGTTTCTGCTCAAGCACAGAAAATAAACTGAAGGAGACCACAAAGAGTGTATGCAAAAATCCCATACTTTCCTGGGGCTCTGGGTTTTCCCTTAACTGAGGACAACATGGGAAAGTGGGAGAGGGGGCAGAGAAGACTGTCGAAGGAGGGTCTACGGATGGTTTCCACCTGGCCATCTGAGAGGCTGGTGGGCTGATGCTCCTCTGCACTTATTTAATCCACAGCTCTGTGTCGAAGCTCCTGAAGCTCTCAGAGCCACTGGAGGAGTTGGTTCCTGCAGGGCCCTTTTCTGAGCTAGAATCCTGCCTGGGAATCTCGGGCTGTCTGGTGGGAATGTGGTCATTTTACATTGAGACTCACTGGGAAGAGGGAGACGCTGGTAGAAGGGAACATAACGTCTTTTGGTTCTTGTGGCCTTTTGGTGTGCACTCCGGGCATCTACTGTCCTTACTCCCAAATGATGTGTGCCGCTGTCTTTGGTCATGAGAAAAATGGGATGGGAGGACAAAACGTGACCATCTGCAGGTGTGTGCATGTGCTCCGTGGAGCAGTGGGGAGGATGTCCCCACTTCCTCCCACTCAGCATTGTTTTATCCCTGGTGATTAATCAACTGAAGGAAGAGGCCTGAGGTCATTTATCAGCAGCATAATGACTAATAATATTCTCAGAAAGATTTCCACCGAGGGTTTCCAAGTGTTCCAAACAAACAGCCCCAGGAGACCCCCAAGTGGCAGGTGTTCTGGATATTCTCCAAAAGTCCTGAGAGCTGGAGGACCCCTTTGCTCTGGGGCACTTGGTGGTGGTCTCTACACTCAACTGAGAATCTTAATGAAAAGCATTCCTCCATGGTCAGGGATTAGAGAAATTCCAACTTCCATGTAAGATTAATGAAATAACTGCATTATAAAATGTGATTAACAACCATATGGTAGGTTGAGAAGTTTCCAGTAAGGATGACCTTTGCAAAGTCCATTCAATGATGTGCAGGGCCGGTGCAAGGGTTTTGTTAATGAATCCTTCTCAACTGTTATCTTTCTTCTCACCCACAAAACATCCGAAGATTATAGTGTCTTGCCACCCTCTAGATTATTTCTAGTCTCCCTTGAAAGTTTCAGGTTCCCCAACCCCCCGACAGCTTGGGGACATTGGCTAGATTGCATGAGCTCCGTGTTATCTTTCTTCTCACCCACAAAACATCCGAAGATTATAGTGTCTTGCCACCCTCTAGATCATTTCTAGTCTCCCTTGAAAGTTTCAGGTTCCCCAACCCCCCGACAGCTTGGGGACATTGGCTAGATTGCATGAGCTCCGTGAGTTTCATTGTCCTTATCAGTAAAATGGGGTTACAATTTCTTTTCCCATTATTTTACGGGGTTTGGTGAGGCATAGGTATCGAGATGTGTTAGAAACTACAAAACACTCTACAAATATCATGTCCATATTATTTATTTCTGTTCATCGGTGTCTACAGATAATCTGATCTCCACAGTTTTGTCCCTGTTTTTTCAGCATTTCTTAATATTTATGGGAATCGTTAGTAGTTTTTTTTTTTTTACAAATGAGAGGGGTAGCATTGTGTGTGTGTGTCTACATGCTGGGTATATTGGTCACCGTGTATGTGATGATTAATTTTTGTGTCAACTTGACTGGCCATGGGGTGTCCAGACTAAACATGTTTTTCTGGGTGTGTCTGTGAGGCTGTTTCTGGAGGAGATGAACATTGGAATTGGTGGACTCAGTAGATGGCCCTTCCCAATGTGGTTGGCTATCACCCAATCCCTCGAGGGCCTGACGAAAACAAAAGGTGGAGGA